ATATATATATATATATATATATATAGAGAGAGAGAGAGAGAAAAACTAACAGAAACTACATAGAGAGAGAGAGAGAGAAAACCTAACAGAAACTACATATAACTAACCATGTCCCCCGGAAAGTAAAACTCCCCCTTGACCATAGAGGTATTACACTCAAGAAAGTTAACTCTACATATTACCTTAAATGCTTAAACTCATATTAAAACAAAGTAAAGTTAAAGTATTAGCTTAGAGCTCATATTTGATCAATTTTTAGTGTTGTTCAAGCTATTAGTGACCAATCGAATACGACATTATCCGATAATTGTCACTGCAAGTTTCGCTAATGCTTAAATTAAAATAATATTAGTACACTCGGAATTTTCAAATCATGGGTTCGTATGTGCGTATAACTATATACAAGTTTTGTAATGTGAGGGCTGCATTTGAACTTTGAACTTCACCAACATCTTCAAACTAGTCATTCCTTTTCTGTACAAAATGATCAAGTTGTTGTATGGACATGTGATTAAACAGGGCCCCCTGGCGGCTCTTAACTTCATTAGCCTAAAGATAACAAATACTAATTAATAATATTATCAGTCGAATTTTATATTCAAGGCTACTATATATATATATATATATAATATATTATAATCTAAATATAAATAGCTTGAAGTTCATCTTAGTTTCTATCAACAAACCTTCTTCTCATTACATAAACATACACTACTAAGTACTAATTGTTGCTATTTTGCTTCTTGGATTACTACTTGTTGCCACCAGCATTGACACAACAGGTATTACCTGAAAGTTATTTTTCATATCAAACTTGTCTACTTTTCTCAAATTAAATTGCACAACCTTCATTTAGTAGTCCTTTCGTTTAAAAAATAATGACCTACTTTTCTTTTACTCTGTTTAAAAGAATGTCCTCTTTCCTTTTCCTTTTTTTTAAACAGGGGGAGTAATAGTTATTTGCTAGTTTTGGGGTAAAACTGACCGGCTTTACATATTTTTTCATCTTTGGAAGAAATCCATAGATTGATTTAGTTTATAACACCATTTTGCAATTCTTATGGAACAGGGGCTGAATCAGTAGGTGTTTGCTATGGAATGCTAGGCAACAATTTGCCTTCACATAACGACGTTATACAGCCCTACAAGTCAAGAAACATAAAAAGATTGAGGCTTTATGAACCAAATCATGAAGTTTTACAAGCCTTAAGAGGATCCAACATTGAAGTTATGCTAGGAATTCCCAATTCAGATGTCAAGCATATTGCTTCCAGTGGGGAACATGCAAGATGGTGGGTAGAGAAAAACGTTCGAGCTTTTTATCCAGATGTTGTTGGAAATGGAATAAGCCCTTTCACAGACACATCTCATCTTACCTCACATCTTGAAACTGCCATGAGTAGAATTTATAATTCAGTTTATTTCACTGGTTTGGGATACAACGTCAATGTCACAACGTCTATAGACATGACATTGATGGGCAAATCTTATCCACCATCTCAGGCAGTGGCAGATCCAGGATTTAGAGTCCGGGGGTGCCAAATAAACTTATCGATTAAATTAATTTTATATTTGATTAAATTATTCGTCTTTTCGATACATATCATAAATCAATCAATAAAATATAAATAATAAGATATTACAAATCCACACTCCACACTAAAAGCATGAAGTTAACAAATTTAAAACTTTCAATAATATTACTATTTACTAATATTATAAATATTCAACATTCATTTACAATTGTCCTCGACGAGTTTTCATATTCTGAAAACGATCGATAATGACATCATTACTAACATTTATAAATACATCACGCTCTATGTAACACACTAGACAATCATTTAAATATTGATTACCAATACTATTCCGCACTTCATTTTTTATGTGCTTCATTGACGAAAATGCTCTCTATACAGTTGCCATAGCAATAGGTAAAATCTAAGTCGACTTTACAAGTAAATAAACAAGTGAATAAGTCTCCGCGAGATTTGCTTCAACCAATGCCTTCGCCAAATCATGAATTCCTTGCAAGTTGGAGAACTTGGATTACCACTTCGCATATGACTAATGAAAGTATCGAGTTGATAGCTCAAATCTCTAATTTTTCCATCATCAAACTCACTTGGATAACACTTTGCTAAAGTCATGATTTTACCTTTGTCAAAATTAGAGAAAGAATTGACCGGATTCAAGCTACCCCATCCCAAGAAGCAAATCACTACTCACTACATCAAAACGGTCATTAAGTTCTTGAAGTTGCATATACAATGACAGCAAAAAAGACTTCAACACGCAAGTGGTGCACATAACTAACACCTGAAGACTTACGTTTTGACTTTCCGGGAAAATAAGACTTATCCAACTTGGGAATCAAGATATCATACACATCACAAAATGAGGAAACATCATCCAACAAAGATTCCCATCCATTTTCCCTCATATCTTGCAATCTTTTCTTTGTAATATTAAGAAACTCCATGGCATTAACAATATCTTGATCTTTTTTTTGTAAAATCTTACTCAACTCATTTGACATTGCCAACACTTTCAACATCAAGTGAAGCACAAAAATAAATTTAAATGTTTTAATCTTTGTTAAAAGATACTCCGCTTGATTTCTATCACTTGATGTGGACCCTTCAAGTTCAATCGCTTCAAGAACATGAACAACAGATGAGAAAATAACAATAAAATTATCTAAAGTTTTGAAATGTGATCCCCAACGAGTATCACCTGCTCTTTGAAGCTCGCGTTCTTGATGTAATCCTTGGCCTTTTTGAACTTCACCGGATTCAAATAATTGCTCTAACTTTTTGGCTTGGTGATCACGAAGTAAGTCTCTACGCTTGAAAGATCCTCCAACAACATTCAACACATTACTAACATGATCAAAAAAGTCTTCAACATCCAAATGTTTTTTAGCAATAGCCACTAGTGTTAGTTGCAATTGATGAGCAAAACAATGAATGTAATATGCCGATGGACTATCTTTCATAATCAAAGTTTTGAGCCCATTTATCTCTCCTTTCATATTACTAGCCCCATCATAACATTGTCCACGTATTTTGGATGGACTTAGTGAGTGAACAGAAA